CTTGAAAAGTTATAAGAAGCAATATCAATAAGTAAATACTAAATACAAAATAAAATATTATCAAATGCGCTAAGTACATTTTAGATTATTCTAAATATAAGACATTCGACAGTATCAAATTTTTAAGGCTGTAGAATGATTAACTGGACAATACTTAAAGCTGAGCTGATTATTAAAAACAAATCAATTAGTTAGTTAATCTGCAATGGTAGAAATTTTAGCAATCTCTTAAGTTACCCATAGGATATACATAGCTATATCTAAATGAATCCTTTACAATATTTACTCACTTGAGCGCCCGTCAGCGTGGCCATATCAAGTATAATGTTTGCCTTAAGATCCTTGTTGGCATAGCAAACGCCGTCGGCTAGCACCAGACGACCCTCGGCATCCGTATTGTTGATTTCGACGGTGCGGCCCGAGTACAGGGTGTGTATGTCATCGGGACTGCAATCAACAAGCAAATAGATTAATTATTCCAGCTAAATGAGATACAAACTTACCGCGTGGCATTCGGACCCACCGAGTTCTCGGCCAAGCAGAAGACGGCATGCAGGTTATCCTTGAAGCCGCACTTAACGGCCGCATAGAAGGCACCCAGAATAGCAGCTGCACCGCCGCAATCCCGCTTCATGCCCGGCATGGCGGTTTTGCCCTTGATGCTCAGGCCGCCGGTATCATAGACAATGCCCTTGCCAACCAGCGCAATCGTCTCCTGTGCCCCCTTCGGCTCGTGGGAGAGCACAACCAAAGCTGGGGGTACAGCTGCCGCCTTGCCAACGCCATAGATGCCGCCAAAGCCGCGCTCTCGCAGCTCCTCGCCGCGAATGACTTGAGGCTGGATGGAAAGCTCTTTGGCAAACTCGTTGACATTTTCAATAAAGTGATCTACGTTCATCTCGTTGCAGGGCGTGTCCACAATGCGTGCGGCAAGTCGAATCCCGCGCGCCGTCTCGTTCAGGCAATTGATGTCGTCCTGGCTGAGGGGCTCCTGCTCCACGCAGCCATCCTTGTCAATGATAACGAATTCCACATTGACCACAGAGCGCGATGGCTGGCCATCGCCAATCTCACTGCTTGGCGACTTGCCACCGTTGCCGTTGCCCGTTTTGCGCGAGTAAAGTGGAAAGGCACGGACCACGGCACACGCGCTGGCAAAGAGGTTCTCACGCTCGCAGACGAGCACAACGCTCTCCTCGTTCACGTTGAGCACATGGTTCTTGACCAGGCGCGTTATCGAATGAGCCCGCGAGCCGGTATTGTGTCGCGATGCCTTCAGTGGCAGCGCGGCGACTGTGGCCACATCCAGATAGAGCGAACACTTGTCCGTCGGCGCCGGATGCAGACAGGCGATAGCGTTCTTAAATGTCTCCTCGTTTACGCGTGGCTCCAATTTATCAGCTAGCTGGCTGAACTTTAACAGATTCAAATGTCGCAGCTGACCGATAATTAACACCGGCTGCACCTGCGGATCCGTGCGACTGAGCGACGCATTAAACCTGATGTCCGTTGCCATCTGAAACATAAAACTGAATGAATCAATTGATTGCAGCGTATTGGAGCCCCCATTCGCTACCTGAACGCGAAATTTCACGTTATTTATAATACTCCAAATCGACACAAATAAACTTTGTACTGTAAACCTGGGCGCATGACACAAATTGATTGAAGCAACTGATTTGGCTCTCGTGCTAATCATTCCTCTAAATAAAACTGATTGTAGACGTTTGCAAGGCCCAATAAAAAAATAATAAAACCTTCATCAATATAATGCCAAGAATATAATTGATTGAAATTTTAAAGCTAAGCTGATGCATACTTTTTCATTTTTGTTTACGAAATGCATTATGTTATTGCCATCAGGGTTTTTGAAGTTGAATATTACATTTTTAACTCTAAATTTTTTTTTTTTTTTATTTATTTTTAGTCATAAAACGTATAAATATAAAATTTAATCTTAAAACCTGACGAGATTATTACTTTGTCTTATCTTATCGTCTACCTAAGAAGCACCTGTAAAATATATAAACAATCATAAGAATAAACAAAATAATATTCACATAGCTGTCCAGCCCTGAACCTAGCCATTTTTTCATTAGTCATAATAATAAACATATTCTAATCTATAAATAGAAAATATACTGCATAAAATAAACAACAGAATAGCATCTGCAATTGCTAGCGACAATAAAAAGAAACATAATCAAAATTTCGTATCACCAGCTGCCGAATATGGCACACGCTGATAAGAGAGAAGGTATTCAAATTTGCGACGTCATCAATGCTATGGCGCAATGACATCGCAAACAGCGTGACCTTGTGCGTGAAAATAAAGGCGACCAACAAGTGGATGCTCTGCTCTCTTTCGATGCCATTGCTGATTTAACACAGATTAACCGTTATATATGTATAGATATTTGCAAGCAAGCGCTTTCGATGGCAACACAAATGATTTTTATGCAAATGTCTCGTTTATTTTTAGAATCCATCCATCTATTCCCTTTGTTCACGAAAATCTACTAAAAAAAAACTTGTTTGCTACGCCCCTGTCACCGGTATCTAAGCACAACGTACATACATATGTACTTACAGTTCTAATTGGAGTGCTAACGCTATAGCCGCGGCAGAATACTGAGCGTAACGCGTTTGCTGTATGCAATATACGCATTAATATTTTATGTGCAGCAATAATTAAAATTCACTTATTCTCAAATTTTTGCAAATCTCAATGACGCCTCTCACTTGCAATTTTTGCCGGCTATCAGTATGATAATTTTAGCCATGCAATCGATAGTTTTTCTATACGATGTGTGCGATATGCGGCCACACTTGGCGCTCTCGAGCGCTCAAATCAAATACTTTCTGGCAACGCAAATCAATTTTAAATTTTCATCCAAATTTATATTTTTAGCTCTGATTAGTTTCACTAGCAATTCAAATTACATTTAAAATTTTACCGAATGACAATTTGACAATATTATTATTGGTTGTTGGTAATATATTAAAAGTAGCAGTTGCGTGAATTGTGCTCATCTCTAATGTGAAGTGGAATAGAATCTTACCAGTCTGGCAACTCCAGATATGAACGAAGCGTCGCTTTGATATACGAGCGTTTGTAGCGCTATTTATTTAAATTTTTTCTGAAATCATCCAACTAATAAGCATGGCAAAACAAATTGACACGCGCAAACGTCTAATGACAATGTTGCAAAATGATATAAGCTTGCAGCAACAGGAGAATGCACTAGCTAAGCAGAGCGCCAAGTTTCACAGCAAAATCGGTAACTAAAATTGTTTACAACTGGAATTGAAATATGAATTAAATATTATTTTGTACACAGCTGCCAAACATCAAATTATAAAGCGCCAGCAACATAAATTAGATAAGTTAAATGAAATATCAAACGAACGTAAAGAGGATCAAGAGAATCGCAGAGCACTTGAGCAAGCAATACGCGACAAGTTGCTCAGAGAGCAACAAAACTTGAGTGAAATGCAGGCGGAATTAGCTACGAAGAAAAAACGCCGAGACGAACTGATGGGCTTGTGAGTGCAAGGAAACATTCGTTTATCTATTTAAATTATCAATTCTCCATCTGCTTGCAGCGTGCGCACTCTGAGTGAAGCAACCAACACCTATATAAATCTAAAGGCATTGCCCGCCCGTATAAAAGGAGCTGCAGTGAGGCCCGAGCAAGGCGAGTGGCTACCCTTTAACTGTGATGCCTATGATGTAAAGGCCTTAAATACACTTTGGTCACGTTTGAACGAGCCCAGCGCCAGCATTGAAAAATGGCGGCAGCTATTCTCTTCTGTGCCATCGGCAAAAGAAAAGGAGAATGCCAACGCTTCGATGACGCCAATCATCGAGATTGATCTGACCTCGCCCACAGCTCATAGATCACCGGCGAAAATGCAAGAAAAATAAGTTAATAAACTAGTACAATATAATAAAATGTTGATCCCTAATTTAAAGTAAAGTAGTAATAAAAAAATATGAAAAATAAAAAGATATTTAATATTAATTTAATCTACAAAGGTGTATAAATAAACATATTTAATAATAATTTAATCTACATAGGTGTATAAATAAATATGTTTAATATATATTAATACGTAAGTAAACACTACACACGCTTTACTATTAAATTAATCCAAATAAGAACAAAAAAATCAACCAATTTTGTAGTATATATAAGAACATCAACAAAAATAATCCAAATATTTAATATTTATTTAATCTACATAAATACAAAATAATAAAAATATTTAATATAAATTTAATTCACATAAATAAACAACGCATTTTAATCTCTCCAGAAAGCGCAAAGTCAACGTGAGCGAGCGCTCCATTTATATAAAACGTATTTATTTGCTAAGCCGAACAAAAAGAATGAAATTCATGCTTCTGCTGCAAAATATCAATTAAATTGTTCAATTAAAAAGAAATATTGAAACTGTACCATTATTAAACGCTCAGACTAATAAAGAGCTGATTATATACTTATTATTTTTAGTTGCCACGGAGCTCGACTTTAAATGTAAGCTGACGACATCTATGATATCTTAGAATGTTCCATGTCTATCCGTTTGACATCTAGAAACTGTTTTTATTGGTGTTTACAGATGTCATATGAGTAGATAGCAATCTCTTGTCAATATATCAGGCAAGCAATACTTTTTGGGCTTAGGGTATCTGCTAGTCGGACTAAGCTGTCTGGCACGCTTTTGCGTATTTTATTTTTTTCGAAATTTAATGATTCTATTCACCATGTGCAAGAGTCAAGCTGTTTATGTTTTTTTTTAATTTTTATATTTTTTATAGTCTAGACGAGCCTCTTAATCTCATATCGAACCACCATTCTTTAGTTGGTCTTATATACAGAGATTGTGTCGCAGACGTAATCGTTATAAAAAAATTTTTCCATTTCTGAGTTCTAAAGTCTATCAGAAAAATGCTACCTTATAGACGTGCCATCTGTTCGAAAAGCTCAGTACTGACTCGAGCTTAAGTCGGGACAAATCAAAATGATAACTGTTGTTTTACTTACGTTGGTGACGCTCATATTTTTATATCAGCTATATAAATATGCAGTCGCTCGTCCTGAAGGATTCCCACCGGGTTAGACAAACAGAGTCTGAATCGAATTTCGCGTGTGATTTCCTAATCCTTGAATCCTTGCAGGTCCTCCACGATTGCCCATCTTCGGCAGCTATCTCTTTATGCTGCTGATCAATCACAAATACCTACACAAGGCCGTTTTACAACTCAGCAAGTGGTACAAGTCGGACATTATTGGTCTGTATGTGGGATCGTTTCAAATTGCCGTCGTCCACAATGGAGAGGCAGTTCGTGAGATCCTGAATAATCAGCTCTGCGATGGACGACCCGTTGTCTACTTGAGCAAAATCCGTGATCCTGAAGTTTGTGTTCGAGGTAGGCTATAAGGATCCATACGTCATTAGAAGATATGCTTTCAGCTATTCACAATGACGCATCAAAATTTGTCAGTCCTTTCATAAATCGTTATCAGGCATTAAATAATGCCTCACTTATTTGGGCACTAATCTTAATTAGGTTTCTGTAGAGCCACTATCTGCTCAATTTGTTGAGGTAGGACGCTAATTGATCATTTTTCATTTTTATTGGTTAAAAATTTTTTTTATTTATTTTTTTAATTTTTTTGTTTTTTTGTGTGAGAATCATTATCGGTAAACAGTGTCTGAAAGTGAAATTATACAAGATTGCCATAACAATAAATATAATCTACAAATATTATTTTCAGGCATATTCTTTAAGGATGGAATTCTGTGGAAAGAACAGCGTCGCTTTATTCTTCGTTATCTGCGTGACTTTGGATTTGGTCGTCGCTTCGATCAGTTGGAGAATGTCATCGCGGAGGAAATTACCGACATGCTCGAGATCATACGCAGCGGTCCTCGCTACGCGCACGAGCATGAGCTGGTCAAGCCGGGTGGATATAGAATACAACTGCCTCTATTTTTCAGTCCCTTCGCTGCCAATAGTCACTTCAGCGTTGTCTACAACGAGCGGACTTCGAGACCCGAAATGGCCAAGCTAATAAAACTAATTCAGTTTGGACTACAATTTCAACGCAACGGCGATGATTATGGAAGAATGTTGAGCATCATACCGTGGATTCGACATATCTGGCCCGAGACCAGCGGATATAAGAAACTGTATGAGGCGAACATGTTTATATATCAATACTTTGCAGAAATAGTCGATCGCCATTTACTTACTTACGATGAAAACTTCGAGCGCAATTTCATTGATATCTACATAGCCGAAATGAAGAAGGATCTGCCCAAAGAATACGGCTTCAATCGCGAACAGTTCATCATGGGCCTCATCGATTTCTCGTTTCCCGCTTTCACGGCACTCGGCAACCAAGCAACACTGATTGTGCAGTACCTCATGCTCAATCCCGAGGTCACGAAGCGCATACAACGCGAAATCGATGATGTGGTGGGCAGTGGACGCCTGCCCACATTGGACGATCGTGAGAAGATGCCCTATACTGAGGCAACGATACGAGAGACCATGCGCATCGACACCTTGGTACCTTCCGATGTGCCACACAAAGCTCTCGAAGACATTGAGCTCATGGGCTACCGTATACCCAAGGTAAGTTCCCTATAAACTGATCACAATAATATGATATATACAAATAATATGTTATTCACAGGACACCCTAGTCATTCCCAGTCTATATGCCATGCACATGGACAAGCGAATTTGGGGTGATCCCGAAAATTTCAGACCCGAACGTTTTCTGGACGAACAAGGCAATTTGTGCCTCAAGAAGGACTTGTCCCTGCCCTTTGGAGCTGGCAAACGATTGTGTGCCGGCGAGACCTTTGCACGGAATATGCTCTTCCTAATAACCACAGCCATGTTGCAGAACTTTGACTACGTTCTAGCCCCGGGCGACAGCTTGCCTGATCTATCCAAGAATGAGGTCGGGCTGGTTCTAACGCCTCCAGATTACTGGGTACAACTCAAAGAGCGTTCGTAATGCCACGAGCCAATATTTACTAAGTAAGAAAACTCTATTCTTGGGCCCGACTAGGAACACTCCCGAAACCTGTCCAACCTGCGACCACAACTTGAATCTAGCATAAAACTATGCAAAACTATATTGCATTTTTGAACTTGTTCTTTCAAAAATAGCCATATTTGTTAAATTAAAATAAATAAATAAAATAAAATGTGAAAACCCAAAAATTTGTCTATCACTGTTAGACGGCAAAATCTCTATTGAAAACGAAAAAAATTAAAATATAAATGTTCGTCGTTTTGCCTGGAGGCAAAATCCAGAGTTTAGTCGGTAATTCTAAACTAAAGCTGATAATGAAAACACAATATAGCAATAAAAAATAAAAATATAAAGCAAAATTCTTGGCGCTGCTGCCACGTGCTTTTGCTAATAGCCCAAACGTATTTGATACCTTGAGCCCATTAAAAATCAAAAGCCAGAAAGGGGGCGTGGCAGACGTCATCAAGTGCTTTATTATTATTATTATTTTTGATCAAGGCGACGAGCTGAGGCGAGCTGTCCGTCCGTCTGACCGTCTGTGTGAACGCGTCTATCGCAAAACCTATAAAAGCTAGAAATTTACCATTTTTATTGGGTTCAAGGTATCAAATACTTTTGACCTGTAAGCAAACGCACGTGGCAGCAGCTTCAAGAATTTATTATATGTGGACATATGTTCACACATCCATCAAAACATTTTTGTTTCAAGAATCGCAATTTCTATTTAATTGTCATTGAATTATTAGCATTAGTTTGGAATTGGCGAGTAGACATTTGAGCAAAAGAGGAGTGGCGATGTTAATAGCCACCGAGAACTCCCAGTTTCGCATTGGAGAATCGACACCTACATATTTATATTTACATTTGTTATTTATTTTTTTATTTTGTCGGTTTCAGTGGAGATTATGCTTTAATATCAATTACAATGTACAATATACAGAGCTGCAATCAATACCTTTTTACGCTGTACAAGTATTTACAAAAAAATACTTGTATTTGAAATTTCCTTTTATCGAAAGTTTTGATTGGATTGAGTTTGAAATTTTGAGCTTAGCGCTCTAGAAAGTTGCATTTACTTATCGAAATGGAATGAGCTACTATCGAGCAAAACAACATTAAGCACATCACTAAGATTTTGCCATTCCCTGGGAAAGCAAACAATTTATGGTAAGCGAGGACAACAATATTCAAAATGCTTAAGCGGCTGCCTAGCACATATTAAATTGATTTTATCGCTTATATTATTTAATCAGTTCAAATGCTATAATGATATAGATAACTATCACAAATCTCACCAAAATTGATAGTCAATTTAGAAAGCAATAAGAAAGACAAATATTCAAATTCAAGCGCAACTGCCTAAAGAGAAAGCTCAGCGAATGCGAGCAAGGCTAGTAGATACCCCTTAATTGATATGTTCATGATCCAAGTATTTAGTATAAGTACGCTTTCAGTTTCGTATAAGCGCATCATAATTGCTGATAATTGGAGGAAGCTATTGTCTATAGACAGCTCTACAATGTCAACTGCAAAACGGAACAAAACGTCAACGTCTCAATGTCTACAATGATTGATGTTGATCTTGCCTCGACGACATCGGTGATTAGTAAATAACTCAACTGAGAGCAAAATAAATCATTAATCATATGTGTATTGTATATACTATTTTCAATTAATTTGTATAAGAGCACGCAAATTAATCTGAACACATGTGTTATCTGCATGAACATCAGTTCCATGTGTCACAGTAGATTCGAATCTTGTGGAGACTGCTCGACTAGGAGATACCCAAAAAAAAAAAAAAAGTTATGAATTCTTTATATGGATTATCATCTAGCAATAACGGAATTAATCTAATAATTGGCAAAAAACCGAAAAATTTGAAAGTTTTTATAAGGCCTATCATCTAGCATTAACAGCTTTAACCCCATGAATATAATACCCCGATTATAAGGGTATGAAAATGTATATTGATTAATTTGTTTATTTGTTATTATTTATAATCTGAACTCATTAGAATAAGTTCATTTTTTATTGCAATCTATTGCACGTGTGACAGATAAGGATCACAGGCTGAACTAAACCTTTTCACATGTACTACCTCTATCGAGAAAAACTGGATGTTGTGAATCGATGTCTCAACAGCTACTGCACTTATCATTTTGAGTTCTAAAGTGCATTTACGACATTATCTGACTATTAGTACTTTAATAGCGGTCGTTCGTTGGAAAGGCTTAGTATTATTTTGAACTTGGCTCGAAACGAAAGCAAAATGTTAACTCTTCTCCTACTCTCAGTGGTGTCGATCATATTTATACATCAGTCATATAAATATGTATTTGGTCGTCCTGCAGGATTTCCGCCGGGTTAGCCAATCAAAGTCGAGTTGGATTTCGCGTGTGAATAACTCAAGTTTAATCCCTTAGGTCCTCCACGTTTGCCCTTTTTCGGAAGCTATCTATTCTTGCTGCTGATCAATTATAAATACCTACACAAGGCAGCTCTATCACTCAGCAAGTGGTACAAGTCGGACATTATTGGTCTATATGTGGGCAAATATCCAGTCGCCGTGGTGCACAACGGAGAAGGCGTACGCGAGATCTTAAATAATCAAGCTTACGATGGACGACCCTGTCTCTTTTTGGGTAAAATGCGAGATTCAGGCGATTGTGTACGAGGTGGGTTATAGAATCTTAAATCCTTTATATCCTAGATCCCCAGCCGATACTGGCTGGTACGCATAATTGAAAGAGCTTACGGTATATTCCAGTCGCATATTCCAAACTCCAACACGCTTGTCTCTCTGACACACACCTTTCTTTCTCTGTTCGCAAATCTAATCTAATAAACGTCATGTACTACTCGTGTAGATCATGTCAACAGATTATTTCAAATTATCAACAAAAACCCTACTCTTTGTATTTACAATATTTATAATTATTCTATTGTCAAGCAGGGCTATCAATAGCTTTTGTTAATTAGAAGTGGGTATTATATTTTCAGTAAATCCTTATCAGGCGCTTAGTAATAAATGTGTCTCAGCAGACACCTATATAAAAACATCAAAAAACATCTTCTCAATTTGTTGCGGTTCTGCGTTTGTTGCCAGACATTTTGGGTTCGATAAGAGTTCTCAGGCATGAATTATGTTGACATCAATTAGATTGCAATAATCATTTAATATATAATATATCATAAGTTATGTGTATGATTTTCAGGCATATTCTTCCAGGAGGGAGTTCTGTGGAAGGAACAGCGGCGCTTCATTCTACGTTATCTGCGTGACTTTGGATTTGGTCGTCGCTTCGATCAGTTGGAGCTGATCATCAAGGAGGAGATTACCGACATGCTAGATCTCATACGCAACGGTCCACGCTACGAGCATGAGCATCAGCTGGTCAAGCCCGGCGGATATAGAATACAATTGCCGCTGTTTTTCAATCCCTTCTCAGCCAATAGTCACTTTAGCATTGTCTACAACGAACGAGTCCCCAGGGCTGAAATGGCCAGGCTACTGAAACTTGTTCAATTGGGCATACAATTTCAACGCAATGCCGATGACTATGGAAGATTGTTGAGCATTATGCCTTGGATTCGACATATCTGGCCCGAGGCTAGCGGATATAACAAACTGAATGAGGCGAACTTGTATATATATCAATACTTTTCGGAATTTATCGATCGCCACATAGATAGCTACGACGAATGCTGCGAACGCAACTTCCTTGATCTCTACATAACCCAAATGAAAAAGGATCTACCCAAGGAATACGGCTTCAATCGCAATCAGTTCATCATGGCTCTTATCGATTTCTCATTTCCCGCATTCACAGCAGTCGGTGTTCAATTATCGCTCATTGTGCAGTATCTAATGCTGTACCCCGAAGTCACGAAGCGCATACAACGCGAGATCGATGAGGTGGTGGGTTGTGGTCGTTTACCCAATTTGGAGGATCGTCAAAGGATGCCCTACACGGAAGCTACGATACGCGAGACTATGCGAATCGAGACTTTGGTGCCTTCTGATGTGCCACACAAAGCTCTAGAGGACACTGAACTAATGGGCTATCGTATACCCAAAGTAAGTGATATATAAGCTTCTATTCTTATTTAACTTTCCTAATAAATATGTTGTGATTCCCAGGACACCATAGTTGTTCCCAGCCTATTTGCCATGCACTCGGACAAGCGGATTTGGTCGGATCCCGATAATTTCCGACCCGATCGTTTTCTGGACGATCAAGGCAATTTGTGCCTCAAGAAGGACTTGTCCCTGCCCTTTGGCGCTGGCAAACGATTGTGTGCCGGCGAGACCTTTGCACGGAATATGCTCTTCCTAATGACCACAGCCATGTTGCAGAACTTTGACTATGTTCTAGCCCCAGGAGATAGCTTACCTGATCTCTCCAAAAATTTCAATGGCCTGATCATATCACCTCCAGATTTCTGGGTGCAACTTAAAGAGCGATAGCCTTTGTAACATTTTTTTTTTAATAAATAAATTTTTAGCACTTCATATTTATAAATAAAAAGTTTTCTTAAGCAACTTATTCTATGCACACAAACAAAACGAGAATATTCTTGTATAACCGGAATAATTATTATCGTTGATTTTGATTTTGAATTGCCATATACATGTATTGCTTAATCGATATCAAAATCATCGTTCCATTCCAGTAACTAGTGTATTGTATATCGATTACACTTTGGCGCGCACTGAAGCTTTGAATAAAGCGATCGATTGTCGTCTCGTCCAACGGATTGCTAACATATTTACTAATTGTAATTTGTCAATAGCAAAAACGTGTTAAGAAACGTTAAGAACTCATACCCATTTATGATTCAACAATAAATTCAAGTAATAGATCATAAATAGTGTTTAAAGATGTGTTTAAGTCTTAATTTATTAGCGCATATTTTACAAGTTTACATCAGTTACTCAACATTTGATTGAACTTAACTTGAAAGGTTCGCTTAAAGAGTAGTTAATTGATAGAAGCGAGCAAATATCTCACCGAATTTCTAATCTCTTATGCATTTATGCATATCTCATGTATTGCTTAAAATGTTTAATACTAGCTTAATGTTTATATGTATATTTATGCATGCCATGCATCATCATTGATTAATACTGCAATCAATACTAAACCGGGTCAAACAGGACCTGGTTACATGGCCTCAACATATCCACAGGGAGTTGCTCACAACGCTTATACATTTACAATAAAAATTATTCATATGTATATTATCTAGTTAAAACTCTTGATTTGCTTTTCTTGGTTGTCTATGGCTATATCAATGATGCCAATTAGTAATACGCCTGCTTAATGGCTGCGCTGGTTATTAAAAAAGCGGAGCCTATCAATGCGAATGTGATGATTTTTAGAGCGCTGGGCCTACCGGAAGAATCTGTGTAAATTGAACTAGTTTAGTAAAATTGTTTGTAATTGTATTGTTTTTATTAGAAACTTACTCTTTTTGTTGGGCATTACACGTATGCACTGCCTCTGCTCAGTGCTCGCTTGATAGCCGAATTTGCATTGACAGACGGAGTTGCGACATTCCACATTCTCGGGATCCTTTTCAACAAAACACTCTGTGGCCTTTGAGCAGGGCTCGCTTAGCACTGAAAGCAAATACATTAGATGTATTTATATTTTAGTTATGCATGTAGCTTATATAAACTTACATCGTTTCGTTTCACAAACTCCATTCTTTTCGTGCTGTTCGTCGGTGCAGCTGCATTTGCCAGCCTCACTGCAAGTGGCTAGCAGCGGCTTGCACTGCTCATCCTCGATACACTCGTCGCCCAGCTCGTCGGCTACAATGAAAGTGACTTTAATAACTTCAGAAGGATATTTCGATGCCTCATACACACCTTCTTTGAGACACTCGTCCTTGAAGTGCACATAGCCCTTGCGGCATTGACAGGAGCGCGGATGCTCCGAGTCCTTGGCTGAGTTGCTAGTGCATGCGGTGTTTTCAGCTACGCACTCTTCATCCTCTGAGCACTCGGCACCGATGCCTGGTCAGACAAATTATTGAACACTTAATATCTGCGTATATATACTGATCATCTTATATTTCAATTTACCTGCCACACACATTTCGTCCTTCTCGAAATAGTTGTCGCGACAGACACAGAAGCGGTTTGAGCAAATGGAGTGATCCACCAGGCAGCCGTCGTTCGACTCGCACTCAGCGCCCAGGCCATCCTTGTATTCGCAGAGCTGCGAGATCTCATTGTATTGGGCGTACTCCTCGCACGTGCAACGTCTGGGAATCTGCGGGTGGCAATAGGAGGCGCCAAAGGGACTACATTGGCTGTTCGATGTGCAGGACAGGTGATACTGAATGGCTGTGAGACAATAAATAATATAAATTTGTAATGAGCATTTAGTTACTCCATCAAGTTGGAATTCTACTCACGTTTTCTACAATTGCGCAGGTCACGTTCATAAAAATAGTTCTTTTGGCATATACAAGTCTTGGACAACTTATCATACTCATATTCACATTCGTCGCTGCTCTCCGCTATCTCGCCGAGCTCTGTCAAAGACGAAAATGAGCAAATAATGTTAACAATATATGATTCTCTCTTACCTGCAAAACATTTGCCGTTGCGAGCATAATAACCCTGCCTGCATAGGCAAATCTTGTTTGTGCAGATCGAGTGGGGCAGGCCAGTGCAGGATTTGCCAATGTCAGTGCAGCTACTGCCATCTGAAAACAAAATGAGAACAATTACATATATGTATTTGTATTTTGTATCAAAAATTAGCAACAACTTGAACAGCAATCAGCGAAGATAACTATGAATGTTGCGTTATCGATAATTATTTCAAATTTTCAAATTGCCAGCACTCGTCTTATTAGTGCTGTCCACGTTTGACAGAGATAAGTTACCCAGCACTGATTATCAAATTGAATACGATTTGGTTTATCGATTAGCCTTCTCAGTATTGGCAAATACCAAGATTGGGGCGGATATATTTAAAAAAAAACATTTGCTAGTAATCGCTGACTTTAGTAAACAAATAACAAATGGGAAATTCGAAAGCTAGAGTAAGTTGACTCAGTTATCTGTTGTCAACCAATTTTCGATTTGATTACGTTTCTTTGCGAAAGCGTGGCTAATTGCGGTATCGTGAGAGTTGAAACATCTGCTCGGTTGACATTATTTCAAATTATGGCATTAAGTTCCGCTGGTCTTCCCCCCATTCCCCCATAGAACTTGTTCAAAAATTTATTATAGTACAAATTGAATACTCACACTTTTTGTCCTCGATATCGTCGTCATCGCGACTCGATCCCAACGTTGAATACGTTTTGATATCCTCATTATCATAGCGAAAAATGGCGGGCAACCGACGACGATTGTTGGTGGAGTTGGTTGAGGCGGTTGTTGTTGTCGTTGTAGTTGCTGTGGCCGCATTCTTGAAACTACGTCCCAGCTCCTTCAGCTCGTACTGGTCAATGCTCGTCTGCACGGCGATTTCACGACTGCGACGAGGGGTCAACAGCAATGGCTCGCTGTCGCCGTTAATCAATGGCAACGTCGCCTGGGCGGCGGCATCTTTGTGAGTGGGCGTGGCATGTAGAAAAGCTTTCGTGAACTGTTTCTTTTCGCGTGCCCAACTGGCTTGCTCCTCGGTTCTAATGGTTGTGGTAATGGATTCCGGCTCAGTTGTCTCCTCATTCGATTCAGTTGGATTCGTGTTCGCATCAGTTGTTTCGATATTCTCCGTCGTGCTCTCGGTGTCGTTCTCCTCCGGCGTGGTTTCCGTGCCGACGGTGGTGCTGGCCGTGGTGCTCGACTCATCCACAATCGTACAGGTTAGACCCACGCAGGCGGCACTGGCGCCCAGTGCATCACAGTCCTCATTAACGACGCAAGCATCGTTTTTTTCTAAAATACAATTTACAGTGAAACCTCTGTTATGGGAAAACTTAAGTTTAACTTATTTGGAATACGGTTTAAAGATACCGGAAAGAGTGATATTTTCAGTGAAAACTCGGTTGAGGAACAACTTTATGAAGCTTACAGAGCTCAAAGTTTCACATGATCTAACATCTATATTCAAGTGCTCTGAAGTGCGAGTAGTTAAGACTTATATGAAGTACATAGACGAGCTCAATTGTTCATCTATAGCAGACTTTACTGCATATGAATATGTATATAATTACCCATTGATTTGCGACGGCATATGTTTCCATATCTGTGATAATAGCCATTTGCACAGGCGCAAACGCTCTCCTCACAGCGCACGGATGCTCGATCGTAGCCAAAGAAGCAATCCAAATCCTGTCAAGAAATCGAAGGGGATTTATAATACTGTAAGACAATTGAATGCCAGGCTCTAGGCGCACCGTTTCGCAGGGCTCGTTGAGTCCATTCACTGGCCTACATTTGCCATGCAAATAGATTTGGCCATCGGCGCAATCGCAGACCCCGGTTTTACAACTGGCTCCCGTTGGCATAAGATTGCATTGAACGGTGGCTTGGCATGCGTCACCAATCAGTGCGGTGTTCAAGCATTCCGAGTAGTCATCCGAGAAGACCTGATCAAAGCTGGAGCAGGCGCAGAGATTTGTTTCCGGGTCACAGCTAGAGCCAGCAGCTGTGCAATCCGCATCGCTTTCACATGGCCAAAGCACAGCCAATGCACCGCCGTCTCCTGCCAGGAGGAGAGAGCTTATATAGTTATGTATCTACATATATATATATGTATATATATATTTCAATATTCGAGCATTTTGTCCATTTAGTGTGATTGTCCCCTTTGACGCACGTTATCGATCGACTCTTGGCTCAAAACATGCCCAAAATTAGCTTAGCTTGAATTATTTAATAGCTCAAAATTAAATATAATTGCATCGGCTTTTGCGAAGGTCTGTCGCATAAACCCGTATTATTTTTAGTTCGATTTATGACTGTTATCATGTTGATTTTGATTTATTTTCGTTATAGAATATTTTTATTCGGTTCAGCTATTTGTTTAATCAACTTCATTGCAGCCACAAACAACAAATTTCGACGACATCAGAAACACGAAAACGGGTGAGAAAATTTAATACTGCGTAATACTCGCTCTGAAGAAATTCTTGTAGAACAGTCATTTGGCTCTATTTTAGTTCCATGATTGTTTCAGGATTTTGTTTTCGATTTGTCACGCCACGCATTATAATCTTAGACGTGGTTATATATATATTATATATATGTATATCGGTATTTTCAGGTCTCTTCGAGCACAATTAGCAGACAGACTGATAGACTGGTTTATTGCTCAAAATGAATATACCTGTTTAACATTTCGAGCGGGTATTTTTATAAGAGTTTACAGGTATAGCTTTGATTGGGTGACTGATTGATGGACTGACTGCCTGATTGAATGGTTCTTTGACAGACGGATGGATTGAGTGTTAAGCTGATTGATTGATTGATTGACTGATTGACTAACTAATTGATGATCAAGCATAAATAGAGCA